CAAATAGGATTCCACATGTTGATTTTTCATACAGAGGAGATGCCACATGTCAAAATTCCTTCATAGGCTTCCTCCAAGGGTTTCCTTTATTAAATTACTAGTATGTGTACCCGTGCACTGCACGGGGAAATATGTGCATAAAGTTTTTATTAAAATTGTAGGGAAAATAAATTGTACATGAATTCATCAATTAGTGTTTAAAAGAAAATTCAATCGACTATAGTCAAAGTTGTCAAAATTAGTCGAAGTCCATAGGACTTTCGTGGTTAGAGTTGTCATTCTTCAATCCTGTGAACTCACTCGTTTCGTGGTGCAACTTGCACATGTAGCAGGTTAAGTGAGTTGATCCATGTAGGTTGCCAGTCAACCAAAATGTAAACATCTATTTTTTACTTTTACTATCTTCAATATTGATGTTTTTTCTACCCAAATAATTTTCAAATATATTGATTAATTCACAACCCTTGTTGAACTATTATGTCTATATATATATATATATAATAATTATTCAAATAAATTACTCTAGCATTATTTCTATCTATGTACCGGAACGTAATTTTGAAAATTGTATATTACGGAGTATATATATAAGGGTTGAGTTCAAATGAGAAGACATCTTAACACGTAAAAAGTGAATTAGAAAGAACTGAAATGTTAGATTTGAAAATTATGCATCATTTGAAATAGAAACTTGTGCTATGAGCCTATGATAAATAAAAAATATTGTGACATTTTTGTAAAAAATCAACCTTTCCTATCCTTTTAAAGTCTGAATTATTTTAACTATAAGTGTATTGTTCTAATGTGCATTTTGAGATCATTAGACAGTCAGACGATCCAAGCTATAAAATTGGGGAGTGCTAACCCATGTAACAACCTGAACATAAATTGTTAGTATAAATAAATATGAGACAAAAAAATGAATCTACCTTTAGAGATTGATTTGATTTTTTTTTGTTTTGTTGGGGAACATTTGCCAGAGTTTTATTAAAAATGAAATGAAGCACAAAAAGAGAGGGGGACTATACCAAAACCTCTCTTCAGAGGCACACCTCTGAGAAATGCATGAATAAGAGCAAATTTAAGAAATTTTGGGGGGCTATACCTGACCCAAAATTAACATACATTGAATTAAAAATGTAAACTAAGAATATTAAAGAGATCAGCATAATAAGCACTCTTAATCGTATTAGGTAACAGATCAATCCTCTCAAAACGGACCTTGGCTGAATGAATCTTGTGGGCTGCCAAATAGTGGACCGGGTTATTACCCTCCCTGTAAACATGAGTAAAACAAAATCCCCTATCCAATGCTTTCCTTCTGAAATTCTGAATGGCAGTGGTATTTCCTAAATCGTTAAACAGAGTAGAAATGGAATGGACAGCATCCGTTTCAACCTGAACATCATCATACCCTTCCTCCATAATCATTTCCGCGGCTTGGATCATAACTTTCAGTTCCGCCTCTTCACAGGATAATGCCTCGATTTTGAAGATCATCATGAGGACGAAATCTCCAGATCGGGTTCTCAGAATAGCGCCTCCTTGAACCATATCAGGTGAAAAAGCTGCGTCTATATTCATTTTATAGCTTTTGTTGGGTCTTCTCCATTTGATAACCTGTAAACTGTTAGAAGATCACACTTGATACTCACTTGATTCTCAGAAGCTATGCATCTGCAAAGCAAACAACATACTACTTATCCGTGTATATGAAAGCATGAGATGAGTAATAAGCAAAGTGTTTCCTTGCATTAATCTTTTGAAAGGGAAAAATCCAGTAGCATCGGATACAAAAAACCCTTTCACACACTCCCTATATATATTTACAATACGTATGCAAGATAACTACCACACACACGAACCCAGTAACTCCCCCACTCCCTTGTTTTTAGTCTTTTCATGATAATGGACCTAGTGTGCAGTATGCACACGTACAACTTAAAAGTACACACATAATAAAGTACCCACACACAAAGAAAACATAATAAACTGAATTTGGACAAGTTTAACTTCCACATTCTCCCCCTTAAACTTGGCTTCACTTCTGTACCACTTTCACCCCAATTTTGTCTCGCAGCTCACAGAACCTTTGTTTTCCAAGAGGCTTGGTTAAAATATCAGCTAATTGGTCCTCAGTTCTTGTGTACTCAAGCTCCACAACATTATGTTGAACACACTCACGGATAAAATGGATCTTGGTGTCTATATGCTTGCTTCTACCATGATAAACTGGATTCTTTGCCAGAGAAATTGCTGATTTATTGTCAACCTTTAACACTGGCCTTTCTTGATCCTGCCCTTCCAGACTTTCCATTAGCTTAATGAGCCATATTCCTTGACATGCTGCTCCAGTTGCTGCTATATACTCTGCCTCACAGGATGACAATGCTACCACCTTTTGCTTTTGTGATACCCAGGTGATTGGACTTTTCCCAAGAAAGAAAAGAATGCCCGTTGTACTCTTCCTATCATCTGTATCTCCTGCAAGATCACTATCACAGTACCCTATCAGACTTGCGCCTTCCTGACTCCTTTTGTACTCACACCCCATTCCAAGGGTTCCCTTCACATATCTCAGAATCTGTTTGACAACATTCATATGTGTCACAGTTGGTCTTTCCATGTACCTGCTAACCACACCTACTGAGTAAGTTAAATCTGGCCTGGTATTGACCAAATATCTGAGGCATCCAATAATACTTCTATACTGAGTTGCATCCACAAGTGATTCCCCATCAAATCTACTCAACCTGCACCTTGGTTCCATTGGAAGTACACATGGATTGCAATCAGCCATACCAGCTTTCTCAAGTATTTTCTGAGCATAACTTGTTTGGCATAGGGTAATAGTCTCAGGATCCTGCCTTACCTCAATTCCCAGATAGTGACTTAGTAGTCCCAAGTCACTCATTTCAAACGCAGCCATCATCTCTTTCTTAAATTTTTCAATGGACTCTACACTTGATCCTGTGACAATTAGGTCATCAACATAAACCCCTACAATCAAAACCTCATCTTGATGTTTTTTGGTATAAACTGCATGCTCAAACACACACTTTCTAAAATCCAGAGATTGTAGACTCTTGTCTAGCTTCTCATTCCATGCTCTTGGAGCCTGTTTTAATCCATAAAGTGCTTTGTGCAGCTTTAACACTTTATTTGGGCTCTTCTTGTCAATGAAACCATCTGGCTGAAGGACATAAACCTCCTCCTTTAGCTCCCCATTTAAGAAAGCTATCTTTACATCCATGTGATGTATGTCCCATCTCCTCAGTGCTGAATATGCAATCAAAGTTCTGATTGTTTCTAACCTTGCTACTGGGGCAAATACTTCTTTATAATCAACTCCATACTTCTGTACATACCCCTTAGCAACTAGTCTAGCCTTATGCTTGATTACCTTCCCTTCTGGATTCCTCTTGAGCTTGAACACCCATTTCAATCCAATGGCCTTATGGTTTTGTGGCAAATCAGTCAGTACCCAGGTTCCATTCTTCTGAATTGAATGAATTTCTTGTTCCATTGCTTCCTTCCAATCTTGGTTTCTGCATGCATCAGCATAGCATGTGGGTTCTTCTTCAGTCAGAAAACACAGCCCTGCTTCTTCTTCTATTCCCCTTGTAGCATCATAGATTTCTTGTAAAGATCTGAACTTCTGATGCCCTTCACTAGCAGCACTAGAACCTGTATGAGACCTAGGAGTATCATGAGATGATGCTTCAGATGACATCTCCTCTTCTTCCTCAGTCTCTTCAGCTGCTATAGTTCTGATCTTTTTCAGGTGCACTGTGAACGTGTTTTGACTATCTTCCTGACCATTACTTGATTTATCTTCCCATACCCACTTCTTGTTTTCTTCAAATAAAACATCTCGACTTACTATAACTTTTTCTTTGATTGGTTCCAGCAATCTGTATGCCTTAGACCCATCCTCATAGCCAAGCATGACAGTTTGCACACTTCTATCATCAAGCTTGGTAAGATGAGGTGAGACAGTTTTAGCATGAGCAAGACAACCAAACACTCTGAGGTGTTGAATGTTTGGAATCTTGCCATACAAAGCCTGGTATGGTGTCATCCCTTCTACACTTTTTGTTGGTGCCCTGTTCAAAACATACACAGAGGTTTTCACTGCTTCCCCCCAGAATTTTGCTGGAACCTCTTTACTTTTCATTATACTCCTTGCCATTTCGATTACAGTCTGATTTCTCCTCTCCACAACCCCATTTTGTTGTGGAGAGTAGGGAGCTGTAAGATGCCTTCTTATTCCTTCATGGTCACAGTAAGCTTGAAAATCAAATGAGTTAAACTCCCCTCCTCTGTCAGTTCTAAGACACTTGATTTTCATCTCCACTTCATGTAAGGAATAAATGTAATTAGATTTTGATGATGCTATAGGATTAGAAAGTTAGAATACCCCCAAATTAGATTTTATGTATTAGAATTTTCAATTGTAAGTATTAGTGTAGTCGACGATCAGAGTTGCTCTGCTTTGGATCAGATCAGAAGTGCATCAGAATTGCTCGACCAGACTTGCTCTGTGAGAACTGCTTTATCAGAGTTCTCTAATCAGAAGTCCATCAGAGTTGCACCATGAGATCTGCTGATAAATTGGACATCTGATAACCGATGAGAGTTACAGATCAGAGGTACTCATCAGCGGACCTATCAGAGTCAGAGTTAGAGTTCAGTCAGAGATCAGAAAGCCATCAGAACTCAACTCATCAGAAAGCCATCAGAATTCAATACTTCAGAAGAGCCTGATCAGAGCCCGACTAACACTTAGAAGATTTCAAGCAACATCCAACAGCTATGAATCCAACGGGTAAAAACATCCAACGGCTAGAAGACTGTGCATGAAAGGAAAGCATTTAATGCACATTAAATGAGCCTGATACGCTGAAGGATTGATTGCAAATGATTGACCAAGGAATCCGGGAAGATATATTATAAAAATAGAAACCTTCCAAAACGGCGGTCAAGTCAACTGTACGCGCATTTAATGCAGTTGTCTCCTCCTCCAACGGGCAGACAACCTCAGTATATAAGCTACACACCGAAGAACAGAAAAGTAGAGAACTCTGCTAAAAACTTTTGCTCCATTCACTGAACATACTTCTTGAGATTCAAACTTCATAACACTCTACAAGAAAAGTCCTACGTTGGGAAGATTCAAACTCCAAATCTTTCATCCCCAACAACGAGCGAAGTTCATCCTGTTCTTCAACTCTTCAAGAACTTCATCAAACATCATTTGTGACGAAGCTAGTTGGAGGAAAACCTTTGTTTTTCAAAGGATCTTCTGAAAAGAAGGGCGTCCAAATAACTGCAGTAGTGAAGTGGTGATACTTCCGGGAAGCTGAGTGAAAGGACCAGCCATCAGGACGTGGAATTGCATCCTGGGTGGCATCTAGACTTGAAGAAGACAAGGAGTGCTTCTTAAGTGCTAGGAATTAGCTTTGTAACCGATCTACTTCAAAGCTAGTGGAACAGTGGACTAGAGGAACGCGTTGTTCCTTGAACCACTATAAAAATATCCGGTGTCATTTACTTTACTGCAATTTATAATTCTGCACTTAGGACATTAACTGATTAACTCTAAGACTTGGAATCTGTGTTCAGCAGATCTTGTTTTCAGAGTTATCAGAAAGGCATTTGCCTTAGTGTTTCTGAGGCTACCCGGACAGATCAGAATCCGCTGCCAAGGCCAGTTCTGATATCAGAACCAGCCTTTCTCTATCACCAGAATCAGACATTCTCTGATAAGTCATTTTGGACTTAGAGAAAATTTGAAAAACCAATCAGTCTATTCACCCCCCCCTCTAGACTGATTACCATATTAATCGGGACCAACACTTCATTTTCAATCAATGCCTTAAATCTCTTGAACTTCTCTAATGCCTCACTCTTTGAGGCCAGAAGAGTAATCCACATGTATCTAGAGTAATCATCAACAAGTAATAGGAAATACTTGTTACCTGCAGGTGTGGAGGGTGTGATAGGCCCACACAGGTCTCCATGGATCAACTCCAATGCTTTCTTTGCTCTGAAAGAGGTCTTGTTTGGAAATGTAGTTCTGTGCATCTTCCCTACAGCACAACCATCACACACTTGATTTACATGACTGATCTCAGGCAGGCCTTCCACCATTTTGAAGGTTGAGAGTCTTTTGAGTGCTTGAAAGTTCAAGTGCCCAAATCTTGCATGCCAAAGCCAGGATTTGTCTTCAATGTTCATAAGCAAGCAGATTTTCTCTGCAATTTGCAGTCTTACAGTGAACAACTTGTTGTTTTGTCTCTCAACTCTGATGATGAGCCTACTATGACTATCATAGACTCTCATCACTCCCTTTTCTATAACCACCCGGCTCCCATTCTCACTAAGTTGACCAAGGCTAATAATATTGCTCTTCAGTTTAGGTATATAGTATACATTTGTTAGGACCAAATGCTCTCCATTTTTGCATTGGAAAAGTATTGATCCTAAACCATGTATATCTATTACAGATCCATCTCCAAACCTTACCTTTCCATTTACTGAAGAGTCAATACTTGTGAAACATCCTTTGTCTCCAGTCATATGGTTGCTTGCACCGGTATCCAAGTACCAGCTTGCCTCATTTCTCTTTAATTCATGTGTATTTTCTTGCAGAGGTTGAGTTTGATTTAACTCACATGTCTCTATCATCAGCAATGCAGGTTCTTCAAAATCCTCCTCCTTCATGAAATTAGCATGATCCTCTTTCTCTTCTGTAGTGCATTCTGAGGCAAAATGCCCCATCTTTCCACAATTATAGCATTTGATCTTAGACTTATCAAATTTCCTCTTTTGCATTGGCTCTTCTTCTCTTTTGTGAGAAGTGTTGTAGCCTCTTCCACGTCCTCTACCACGTCCTCCTCTATTACTCCTGAAATCCCTAGAGACATCCTTGGCATGTTTCTCCTCTCTTGCTTTCCACTCTGCCTGGGTTAGCAAGACAGTTTCTTCAGTTTTTGTTTCAACACTCTGAAACCTTTCTTCATGTGCCTTGAGTGATCCAATGATCTCTTCACTGGTTTTGGTTTTTAAGTCTCCAAACTCCTCAATTGTAGATGCTATCTGCAGGAACTTGGGTGATGCTGATCTGAGTAATTTCTTCACAATTTTTTCTTCCTTCACTTCATTTCCAAGTCCCCTCAACTTAGTAACTACAATCTGTAGTTTACTAGCATAGTCATCCACACTATCTTCATTAGACATTTTCATTGCCTCAAATTCTCTCCATAAGGACTGAGTTCTTACTTCCTTTACTTTTTCAGCCCCCAGGTTCATTGTTTTAAGCATGGACCAAGCCTCCTTTGCTGTCCTCTTTGCACCAAGTTGAAGCAAGGTATCTTCACTAATACCTTGGTATATGACTGCAAGAGCCATTTTATCCTTTCGTGTTTCAACAACACCCTCAGTTTCAATGGCTTCCCATACTCCTTGTGCCATCATGTAAACCTCCATCTTAATAGCCCATGCAGCATAATTACTTTTTGTGAGCATGGGATATTTGAGTGCAATGATGTCACCTTTCTCTTGTGACTGCCCTTCATCATTGTGAGTACCACCAGTATCTCTTGACATGATTCAGGATCCACCAAGCTCTGATACCAAATGTTAGAAGATCACACTTGATACTCACTTGATTCTCAGAAGCTATGCATCTGCAAAGCAAACAACATACTACTTATCCGTGTATATGAAAGCATGAGATGAGTAATAAGCAAAGTGTTTCCTTGCATTAATCTTTTGAAAGGGAAAAATCTAGTAGCATCGGATACAAAAAACCCTTTCACACACTCCCTATATATATTTACAATACGTATGCAAGATAACTACCACACACACGAACCCAGTAACTCCCCCACTCCCTTGTTTTTAGTCTTTTCATGATAATGGACCTAGTGTGCAGTATGCACACGTACAACTTAAAAGTACACACATAATAAAGTACCCACACACAAAGAAAACATAATAAACTGAATTTGGACAAGTTTAACTTCCACATAAACCTGAGAAATTAAAACTGAAATCCTTCGCAATCAGATTCTCTTGCTTAAGAAAAGCCTCCATTGGTTTAGGTTTGATTGTAGCCAGTTTAGCAGCCCAACTCTGAATATAACATTTTATTTGGGAAATTAAAAAATTCAGAATAGGTATGGAAATAGAACCCCAAATATAAGAAGAATATGCTTTCCAAAAAAAGAACATCAACGGACTGTTTGGTGCAAATTCTTTCCAAATGGGTTCTTGAATCTTGCCAGGGTTGATTGACCGGCAGCAGGAGTTCGTGCAGATGTTGGTGATGAGAGGAGTGTCGGTGGATGCCGGCTTCCATGGAATCGACATGGTCGATTCCCGAACAGCTGCTGCCATTCTCACTTGGCATATTACTCTTATCCAAAGAATAAAAACATGATACTCCTATTTTGGAATTTCAAAACATTTTTACTCCTATTTGGAACAATTTCTGTCCTCTTTTATGTACTCCCATCTACTAGTAGATCATTACTCGGGCATTACTTCACACACCTCCCAGATTACTATGCGCACCCCCACTTGACAAAAATGTCTCTTGTTTAGCTTTTTTGTTCTATTTTAATTACACCCATCTCTCCTCTTCCTAATTAAGATGCCGGTTGGAAGTACATACATTTACGAAAAAATATATTTTATAAATAAAATAGAGAGAAAATTATACTACGTATGAAAAAAATAGTTAGTATGATTTTCTACCGTATACTCACAAAAGTGACTTCAACCTTACTTTTTCTTATTATACACAATTCATTTACGTAATCAAAAATTGTGTGTTTGGTAAAAAAGTAAGCTGATAAGCCGAAAAAAAGGTTACCAAACGAACTCTAAAATTTCCCTCTTGAATGGTCCACACTTCTTTTTTGCATATCCTTCTAAATCTACTGTATTATCTGCTCCAAACATGTAAATTTTGAGTTCGCGTGCTGGATTTGGTTATAAAAAGAAAATGTAAGGTTGGAGTGACTTCTCTGACTATATTGACTGAAGTTACTCTATATGTCTATTCTAGTTATTTTTTATTTATTAATAAGATATATTTAAAATATAATTTTTCACAAATCAGCAGGATCAACCAATTCAACCACTTCAACCAGAATTTCATAAATTTCAGCAGAATCGGCCTATTCTGTTGATTTCACTGTTATCAAACATGCTCTTAATAAAACGGATCAAAACGAAAGAAAGATAGAAATATAGTTAATCAAATGAAGTAGTTAAAAAAGAAAGAAAGAAATATGAATGAAGTGTGGAAGTAAATCATATTTTTTTTCAATAATCTCTACATTCATTGCTTATTGTATGAGATGATTGTAGAAAATTGTAAAAATATTATAATGGATTACAAATTTTTATAAGTGATTATTTGATGGTATTAGAGTTTGTAAGCGTAATTATATTAGAAAAACCCATGTTTTAAAGATTGTTATTCTTTTTCGTTAAAAAAAAGATTGTTATTCTTTAGAAACAAAGTTGTTAGAAAAAAGATTAAAGAAATATGAAAATCAAACCTTTATTAAAAATTGAATAATGTTGCATGACTATTTAAAGAAGCACACGTTGAATACTTGAGTAACTAACTAACTAATACGTAGGGAGTAGTAAAATAAAAATAAGTATATGGGGTGAAAATTAAAGCAGCCTGAGTGCGTCACTAATCAAGGACGTATTTGTTCAGACTTGACAAAAGATTGGTGCGCCCAGCCATTTGGGTGGCGCGCGGAGCACGGATGTTACTCCATATATACCTAGGTTAATTATTCATTTTGCAATATACTTTCTTTTTTAATGGTAATGATTCCATTTCTCAATCCATAAATTTAATCATTAATATACTTCGTAATTAAAATATTTAAAAACAATAAAAGAATATTTTAAAACTAAATTTCTAATACATTAATACATAAAATATAATTAAAATAAAACATGTAAATAGTGTAAATTTAACATATTATAATTATTTAATAATAGTCTCTTTCAAAACGTTATATGACAAAATTAGTATTACATATTTCTGCTACATTTTCATTTTTGAAGAACATTATACTAGTAGAAAATTAGAAAACGCAAAAAAAATGTTAATTGGGACATCCACGTAAACAATTAACCGAATAAGCGGTTGATTACCTGTAAAATTAACGATTTTGTCATTTTCTATTCTTCGCAAACTTAATTACTTTGTTAAAAAGTAATTAAACATTAAAAAGTGCGTAGATTTATTTGTCAGTTTTTTCCAAAATCAATGTCATAATTTGACATTATTAAACATTAATATGACAATTGACATATCAGTAGCTTTTTACATAATCATGGTCTGGACATATAATAAATAAAATAAAACTTTGGGGTTGAAACCTGTTATATGTCTGTTCATAGACCTTTTGATACAACTTTTACGTTGAAACCAATTTCCGACTTTTAAAATTTGTTTTTGAGTGATTAAAATATTATACTATATTATGAAACTATTTAGTCCATAGACTATTCACTTAATCGTTATTATTATTATACAATGTACATACGGAGTATTAGCATACATGTTGTATTATTATTATTATACTATGTATCATATCATTAAATTGTATGTTGTATTATTCTATAAAATGTATTATAGTTCTTTTAATTATAATATAAACAATTATACTAAAAATTTATATCTTTAACACCCAATCATTTTAATACAATTGATAACGATTTAGATACCTTGATCAACAATCTCTTTGACTCTCTTTTACGGTTCATGATGGTAGTTTTGGTTAGCTTCTTCATCTTAATGTTCACAACTACATATCCTGTAGAAGTCAATGAAAGCAAATACTCGGTATGCTTTATATTGTAATTATATGTACTCACATCTCACATGTTTATTGTTCTTTTTTAATGCTTTCTGCATATCGTTTTAATTTATTACCATTAGTCTAGCTCTGTGAATAAAAATTCTTTACATATCTTTGGGGCTGTAACTATAGAGCAAGACATCACTGATGTTTTCTTTTACCTTGGATTTGAACACTGGCCTCTTTACAATACCATGTATTATTTCACCCTGCAACAAAGAAAGACATGTTAGTAAATATAAAGACAAAATTAAATTTGGGTATAATATTGGTTTCATACCCACTACAAAAAAACACGCGTGTGGTCACGGACGGTAGTCACGGATTTGGTCCGTGACTAGTTTGTCACGGTCCTAGTCACGGACTAGTCACGGTTTTTTTTTAAAAAATAGTCATGGATATGACCGTGACTACGTCCGTGACTACGACTAGTCACGGTTATATCCGTGACAAAGTTATTCCGGCCACAGAGTTAGTCACGTTTTTTTTACACTGCGGTCCGTGACTAATTCCATCACTACACGCGTGTTTTGTTGTAGTGACCACTTGTGCGTTAATGAAGAACATCATTTTTTGTGAGATTGTACCATTTTTTGTTGCAAGATGTGTGATTGTGTGGGATGTGTTTCTCGATCTAGTGAGGCACTGCATTTATACTACAATTGGGCCTCTGTATTGTGCATTGATACTTGCAAGAATTTCGGACCAGCAGATAAGAGTAGATTAAAAACCAACGAACATCTGGTTAAGACACATAGTGTGCTTCAGAAGTTGCTATGCATTTAATGCATATGTACTTCGAAAATCATGGATGCAATCTTTTGTTCTAAAAGAATGTACAGCACCACCTTTCATTTAATGCTTGCCAAAAGTTTCGAAAGGATGGGTAGCTTCAAATTAATTGAGCCGTATTAAGTACTCCCTCCGTCCCTCTAAATTTGTCCCATTTTACATTTTTCGTCCGTCTCATTAAGTTTGTCCCATACCATATTTGGCAATATTTGGGTTGTTATAATTCATTCTTACATTATTCACACTTTATCAATTCAACACCAACCAGTCAACCACACAATTCCACTTTTTCTTAAAATTTGTGCCACACTTCTTTGTCCCAAACATAGTGGGACAGAGTAGTACATCACAGCCAGGGCCGGCTAGAGCAATTATGGGGCCCTAGACGGTCGGTCATATAGAAATTTTGTTTAGATACAGAGTATGTTTTATGTAGCACAATGATGATAAAAAAATATCAATTAAATTGAAGTAAATTAGATATGAAATACTCCTCTGTCCCGTCAAGATTGCCTCATCTTTTTTTTCCGATCCGTCTTAATAAGATTATTGTCATGTCAAATTTGATAAAATATGTGTACTTCTAAATCATTTTCTTACTAATTGTGTCATCTCCTCTGATCCTGATATTAGTGGGACGACGGAGGTAGTATATCATATACTATTAACATATTCTTTAAAAGCTAAAGATAGAGGAAAGTGATTTTATGATCAAATCCTTTTCTAGTGCTTTTTTTGGATCAAAATTTAACATGTACAATGTGTCCAAAAATCAAAAGCCCCGCCACCTCCTCCTATTTCGTGAGAAAAGGAAAGGGTGAGAAGAGGCTTATAGTCTAGTCTAAGTCAATCTCGGCCTATACGCAAAGGTTGAGACCAAGGGTTGATGTAATTGAGAGAAGTTTATTCAAAATATAAAATTTCGTTTTCCAATCATCACAAAGCATAAAATTTCATTCAAAATAATACTAAATGGAGTATAGTAAATCAATTTAAAAGATTAATAAAATTTCATTCACTAAATTTAATCACATATAAAAGATTATAGGTACACAATTTCAATAAATCAAAGTTACAAATTACAATTAATACTTTAGAATACTCGTATATACTATGTATATCCCTACTGCCCTAGGCCCCTAGCCAACTACGGTCTACGGAGTACAAATCAAACAAAGAAAAAACTAAAGAACAAATATTATACGGAGTAATAAAATAACAATATACTAGTAATGAATTTACTCATGGAAAAACCTCAAGCCTGGGATGCCTATTTGGATTCCAACTCTGAAGACGGAAAGTCTAGTCAACTCCTCGCAGCTTCGTTTTTTTTTCTTGACAAAAAAATAAAAGGATGGATTGGAGAATCGACCCCGTAACATCACTAGAAGCAGATTCTCCTTACTAGCGTAATATCCAAACGAACCATCGGAACTTTTGTTTACTATTAAACTTGAAAACATATACATAAATATATAGGCTTACTCTAAGAATTAGAGGCCCCTAAAATTTGGAGGCCCTAGACATTTGTCTAGGGTACCTGCCCCTATGGCCGGCCCTGATCACAGCCACCACTTTATGTAGACTCAGCCGTATAAGCAAATCACACATCAACTTTAGTCGCCAACATTTAATGCTGCAATCTCATACAGCCTGTTTTCAACACTAAAAGCAACTTTAGTCACCATCATTTAATGCATCCTTTGCACTTGAACTCTCCCTGAGCTGGTGACCCGTTTTGCAACCTATCCGACCCGTATTGGCAGTGGAATTGGACGGGAAATTCAGCCAACTTTCCACTGTGTTTTGTATATAGGAAGATAATAGAAATACGGAGTATAAGAAATAGCTTTTGATTTCTTGTCTGATAAAGTCACGCCTTTGCCTTTTAGCCAAATGGCCCTTGGAAAACACGCCCTTAATCTAATTGTTGTATATGAAATGTGCAGGCCTGTCAAGATAAACATGGCGCAGAAAAGTTAATGGTCTAGTTTCATATGATAAACATGGCGCAGAAAAGGTATATGTATCAGAGTTTGGAAAAGGTTGGGCACATGAGTGAAGGTGATCGATCTGCTTAAGATGTGCAACGAAACCCTGGTAGTATGGACACCGGACAATTTGATCGTGAAAGAAGACAAGTGATAACATTGGTAGATGCAACATTAGCTAGCAATCTAGCAATCTAGATTATTGTACTATTAACATACTGGTGTAGTATCAACAATAGTCATTATCTCTAGCCATCTCAATAAGAGGTGTATGTTTTTTATAGTTGCCCGTTATAAATGATGTACTCCGTAATACTTTTAGTTTTAGTACATTAATAAAGAGTTTTATTATATGGATGTTTTATAATATATGAAAGTGCATAATCTTGGAATGGGTGTTGCTTATAATTCATGAAAAAGTGTTGCTGGTTTTTAAAAAAAGTGTTGCATTAAGGAGATGTGTAAATGTTATGTAATCTGAATAAATGTTGCAAAAGAACAATATAATTACGTTACATAAGTATCATAAGTGTTGCATAAAATTATGTTTTAAGTGTTACGTTTTATCCTAAAAAGTGTTGCATAAAATGTTGGTGAAAGTGTTGCAAAATAGTGTTGCATATATAATATTTATGCAACTTTTCTATTCAAAGTTGCATAAATGAAAAAAGTGTTACATATGACTTTATGTGACGAGATCTAAAGTAACACACATAAAAGTGTTGCTTTAGGCTTTTGTAACACTTTATTCACCTACTGTAACATTTTTGGAGCGGTACAAAAAGTTGATTTTGTTGTAGTGTGGATTACCTCCCAAGTATGTGTATAAAAAATGAAAAACACCAAAAAAATCCGGTAATGGTTCCTGATGGTGGTTTCTAGCGATTTTTGTCGAAAGTTGGGTAAGGGTGAGGTGGGAGCTGGGGTAGAGATTGGATATAGAGGTAATTACAAGCACAAATATTACCAGAATTGTATTGTTAGGGAGGTCAAGGCTTGAAAGTTTATTTTGTAGGGGAAAGCTTAAGACATCAACATAATATCTAAATTTAAATCTAAAAACTTTATATTTGTGAATCCTGCTTAGCACCATCTTTTTGTGTCAACATAAAAAACTTTCTCTTTTTTAGCATTCCTTAACTACCCTTACCGTTGCTTTTCCCGTTAATTGAAACATAGACTACTAACATAAATGCATGCATATGCCTATCATTCCACTAACATAAATGCATGCATAGTATATTTTTTTTAATATTATCTTAAGTATGAAATATATATTCCGTAAAATTATTTAGCAAAGCAGATGTCCCGGTCCAATGATATGGAACACAATCATAGTTACTAAAAGTTACAAGCATAATCATTTTGTATAAGGTAGAATCACTTTATATTAGTCATATACTTCATTTAATTTGTTCTTTTTTAGTTGCAACGGTTCATTTTGTGTGTTAACCAACACACTTATTGGACCATTATTATCTTTCATTCCTTATTAGTATAATAATCAGATTTCGAAAGTTTCAAATGAGATGAATTTAGCATTATTTGTCATTAAAATCATACTTAGAGCCTGTTTAGTAACACTGAAATTAGTTGTATTGGTACATTTTGTTGAAATTTAACAGTTTTGGTTGAAGTGGTTGTATTGTCTTATTCTGCTTATTTAAAGAAAATCAATAAAATAAAGAAAAAATTATATGAAAAATAGCTAAATTAGGCATTTGCAGTAATTTCAGCCAATACAACAAAAAAAGTAACTCTAACCTTACTTTTTTATTATTATTACACAATTCAGTAGGAGAATCAAAAGTTACATGTTTGGTTAAAAAGTTGGCTGATGAGCCGAAAAACAAAGTCACCAAACAGACTCTTAATCTCAGAAAAGACATTTTTTTTATGATCATACAGTTAAAACTAATAGTTAACTTTGATGAATAAAAATAATTGGATCATAACTTTCATTTTGACCAAAAATGAAGAACTATTGGATGAAAATCTTGTCAGGTATAGTAATTTTTTTTCTCTCTCTCTACATTTTTTTAATCCAGGGGGTCTGGGGGCTGGGGGGAGCCTGGAGTAATCAGGACTGAAACTCACTCCATTGAGTTTCAACCCTTTACGGGATTCGAATTTGAGACCTCCCACTAGGCACAGTAACCTCCCACTTGTGGGGCGGGGCTCGTTATGCCCCCTCGAGTGTAACACCGTCCCCAAATATATTTACTTTTATGTAAATAATGTATTGAACCTTATTAAAGGATTAATGAATTTACGAAGTTGTAAATTTTTATTATTTCTTTCGCGTGAATAGTAAATTGCATGTGGGACCCACATCGGGAGCAGAGACCACCCAACATTCCCGAGACCACATATTTTATTCATCTTGGTCAAGATAATATTTATATAGTGGTGGATATTTCATTTGGGCCATGGAAAGGCCCAGAGTTGACCGATTGGTCAAGAGAAGCCCAAATTACCGGTACTGGTAATTTAACAGATAACAGCCCGAACTGAATTTCGGAGGCTTATAAATTAAAGTTGGGGAATGTACATTCATTATAAGGGTCTTAATGATTAAGAACACATAATATATTTTATTTGACCCGATAAAATAAAATATATTTAAAATAGTCCGAAAATACAACTTTCGGGGCCGATTGTACACTTCGGGACGAAAAGGGTTGACCTCCCACATGAGTGGGGGCCAACCCACGATTTTTGCCACTCAAAATTGAGGGTTGGTCGGCTGGTATAGGAAGGGAACATGGGAAGAGGATTTTGATATGAAGGAAATGGCATCAAAGGTACCTAGGTGGACCCCCATTTTTGCACTCATTGGATCAATGAGACAAAAGTCCATCCCCATCCCTCTCTCCCCTCCTTATCTCGGCCAAGACACAGAAACCAAGAGCAAGAAAACTCCTCATCCTCCTTTCTCCATTGTTGAGAGCTCAACAAGGAAGGACCTCAAGAAGAGGAATTAAAGTGCTAAAAGTGTGGAAATTAAGATAATAACCTTATCATAACTTTTTCTCTATTTTTCCTTCCATCATATGATATATATATCATATGTAGAACCCCTGAGATTGTTCTACATGATAAGAGTGTGGAATAATGGGTTGAAAGGTGGTTCTAAGTCCAAGAACGGATTTAGAAGTCAAAACGACCGGTTCACCAGAAAATAACCTTTTATAGGTTATTTGTATTGATTAAGGTTTTATGATGTTAAAACCTTGTTAGGCACTTGTAAAGTTTATTTCAAGTGATTTCACAAGGTTGGAAAAGTCGCCGGAATTGTCGCCGGAGTTGACCAAAAGTCGCCGGAGTTTCACCGGAGTTCAACCAAGAAGGGTAGAACTTCATAACGCTAGTTCAAGGTGAGTGGACGGCTTAATATCTTATAACTTTTGGGTTAATTATGAGATTAACTAAATAAATGTTACATGAGTTCATAATGATGTTTAAAAGATATTTAAACATGTGATTAGCCAATAGGGTTAAGTTTGTATGAAAGAAGTAAATTGTTTATGCATGGAATATGATATGAAGAATTATATAAAATGCATATTTGTTGAAATGTATAAGAAGCACCAATGAATATTATTAACTTAATTACATGATGATTAAGTTGATAAGTGTAAGACTTGAAATGGCGGTCAACGACAACGTTGACCGATGGATAATGGATTAATTAATATCGGTTGATATTAGTTAATTATACATTTATATAATTGTATGGCTTTGCATGGATTGTGATACATAAGCTTTATGTATTGAATTAGTTATGAGTAACTAAGTATGATATAGACTCTATCTAAGTTGATAGGAGGTTGATCATAGGAAAATATTTTGGTGGAGGACCCTAGTACTTAAAAGTACTTAACACTCAAAATTTGGTGGAGGACCCTAGTACTTAAAAGTACTTAACACTCAAAATTTGGTGGAGGACCCTAGGACTAAAAAGTCCTTAACACTCATACTTTGGTGGAGGACCCTAGGACTTAAAAGTCCTTAACACTCGGATTATAAATTGGTGGAGGACCCTAGGTAGTGATGGACCCGGGCCGGGTCAAGGCCCGGTCGGGCCTCGGGTCTTGTAATGGTACGCCCGGGACCGGCCCGGGCAATGGCCGGTTCCGGTTCGGGCCGGGCCACCCGCCCGGGTCACGGGTCGGGCCACCCGCCGGGCCGGGCCAATATATATATATATATATATATATATATATATATATATATTAATTAATTAATTATATATTATATAAATTCCTATTAAAAACAAAGTTCAAGTGCATTTATTTGAAATAAGAACTACATTTGAGAATTGAGAAAAAAATAACAATACGAAATACATTGGCTAATGAATATCAATTGGGATTTCCGCCACCGTTGGTTGTTGTTTTCCCTTTGTCACAGGACTTCATATGTTTTATTGGCATCCCGTATCCGTATGAACGCCCCAAGCAACACTCTTTCTTGCACCACCTGCAAGTTGCCCACCACAGTCCGGTCTTCGGGTCCTTCCACTTGTCAAAATTGTTT